CACGCTGACCAGCATGGCCAACCTGGCGTCGACGTTTTGGAATCAAGGCCGGTGGAAGGAGGCCGAAGAGCTGGACGTGCAAGTGATGGAGACGAGAAAGAGGGTGCTTGGGGAGGAGCATCCTTCCACGCTGATGAGCATGGCTAACCTGGCGTCGACGTATAGGAGCCAAGGGCGGTGGAAGGAGGCTGAAGAGCTGGAGGTGCAAGTGATGGAGACGAGAAAGAGGGTGCTTGGGGGCGAGCATCTAGACACGCTGACTAGCATGGCAAACCTGGCCTCGACGTTTTGGAATAAGGGGGGGTACAAGGAGGCTGAAGAGCTGGAGGTGCAAGTGATGGAGACGTTCAAGAGGGTGCTTGGGGATGAGCATCCAGACACGCTGAGTAGTATGGCCAACCTCGCACTCACATTTCGATCGCAGCCTTGCGGTCCAACAACCTTGGCTACTCTATGCCCTCACCGTGAACCAACTCACCTCTTGTAGATTCGCCACCTCACAACCATGCGGTAATAACGGGTCGGCCATCCTCCCTGCTAGCGGTGGCGATATCTGGTGCTTGGTCACCTTTCATTACCGCACCATCATGCTTTCGCATGCTTACACAGCTCGACCCGTTCCATGTTCACACTGGCTCTATGTCCTATGAACTAAAGCAGCATCAAACCCCTATCTCTGTCTTCTCTGTTCGCCATTCGTTCAAAGTTCAAAGTGAAGACTCTGTGTCAGGGTGATGAGGGCCAAGGGTCCGTTTGTGCATCCGGAAGCATGTTTCTATTAGAGAGATGGCGCCCTTGTTGCGGGCTTGCGGGGGCCTCTTGCCAAGACCGTGCACAGCCACAGGTGTGGCTCTTACGATGTGATGATTAGCTATGGAGCCGTATTGCACTAGCCAGATTTAGTAATTGCTCCGGTCAGAGGTACCGACCAGGGTGGCGACCCTGCATGAATTTGCGCGCGACAGCAGACATACCGCCAATGATGACTTGACAGCATGTTGGCAAAGTTCTAAGGCTGAGATAAAACCCTTTAATAAATATTAAGAGCTGTAAAAGCTTGATAGTGATGTTGTTATAAAGGAAGTCTACTGTAAGGCCGGATGCCCCAGAACCGGCTAGTATGGTCTCACCCGACCTGTTTGGAGGTCACATGACCTGTGCTTCGTATATAAGCATGAATCCTGACAAGCGAGGCTTGGCAGCGATTCGTCTCTCTTACAATACACTCCTATCTTTCTCCGAAACCTTGCTCTCAGTGCTATCCATGCTAACTACTATCCCATCTTTACATCTACGACGCTACAAAAAGAGCCTATCCACGAATTCAACGCGAGGGCGATAACGCGAACGTAATTTTTAGACGCGAGAGCATCTAAATATATAGAAATAGCTGTAGTATACAACTTGTATAGAATTGTAGAGAATATTAATGTATGTACAGAGTCTGTGTACCTTAAGGTTAAAGTACTCTTTATATTTCTTAGCACTAAAAGTTTCTTATTACGCAAGAGTGTAAGGACGAAGCTCTGTACCACTACGCTAATACAACTAAAAAGGTGCAAATAATCAACCAACAATTGATCTTGCGTACAGAATAGTATGTATACCCGTCGTACGTAAGCGCCATGTCGGGCTTACAAAGAGGGTACGTTAATATTTGTTATTACAATAGTAAGAGATTAAGATAAACCTATAGTACACAACGCAAGTTGAAGAAAATAGACAATTAAGCATAAAAAAAAGTAGTTATTAACAATTTTAAAGTGTAGATATCTATAGTTTTTCTTAGCATAGTATGGTCCTTGCTACATAGTAGAGGATATTAATTAGTTATAATTAAAATTAATACCATTAAGCCTTCTAAAGCTACGCTACATAGACTAGTTATTCTAAGAAGATATGTAAAAGCTTATAATGTAAGAGGTATTAGGTATAAAGTATAAAGCATAGAGAGAGAATGTAGAATAGAGGAGTATAACAATAGAGAGTGGACCTTAAAGTTACAGGCAGATGTACAGAGGCTAAGAAGCCTATATACCCTATGCTAAGCCTAGGGTACTTAGTGTAACAATTTGCATAAATTATTCCATTTAAAGCTACCTAACAAACCTACTGTAAGACTAAGATAGTTCTTACACTGTAACAAGGTAAGTACAGTCAACCACGTGGCCTTCTCTCGCTTATAGAGGTTTAGGCTAGACTAGAGACAACCGCTAGTGCTAGTGCTAGCCCTAGCATTATCTATATATATATTATACTGTGCGAGAATACTAGGCTTACGTATTCTCGTGCGTATCTTTTGGTACAGTGGGGAAAGTCGTATAGTATCAGCTTGGCAGGCGGGGCGCCTACCTCATTACATACACGCGATAGGTATATATACTACCATGTACGCAAATCAACTGTTAGCTAATTATTCACAGCTTTCTAGTTGTATTAGCGTTGTAGTATAGAGCTTTGTTCTTACACCTATATCTAAACGTACTATGTATCTGCTTTAACTCTACTCTTGTAACAATCTACATAAACTGTTCTATTTAAAGTTACCTAACAAATCTATATCTAAAGGTACTGTGTATCTACTCTACTTCTACTCTACTCTCTACACTACTTTTATTTTTAACTACTTAGCTGCACTTTTTTTTTTAGTAAGCTTAGTAGTTTTCTAATATTCTTTTTTACAAAGCTAATAGATTGTAACAATGTGTGTAATAGTATAGGCAAGACAATTAGTTTAAATGCGGTGTGAATCTACTTAAAGGCATATAAAAGCGTGTAGAGACTTAGAAACCTTAGAATTCTATTAACATCTATCGCTCTTATATTATAACAATTCGCTTGAATTGTTCTATGCAAAGTTACCTAGCGAACCTTATATCTAAAGATTCTTTGTATCTGCTCTAACCTAGCCCTGCCTCTTGCTATACCTCTATTCCTCTAAGTATTTAGTTACACCTCTTCTCTTAGCTAGCTTAGTAGTTTTCTAACATCTTTTTATATAAGGCCTTTAGGTGTTAATAGCATTTCTAGGTTTCTAAGTCTCTACCTACTTTTATATGCTTCTAAGTAGTTTTATACTACATGTAGATCTATTACCTTCCCTATGCTATTACATTATATTAAAGAACTTGCTTTTGCTAGTAACAGATTTATTAATAATATTATATTAATTCTTTATTTAACTATATTTAAGTCTTAGATGTAGTTAAGTTAGTTTAGATTATAATATTTACATACTATTATATTAAATTATAATTAATACTAAATAAAACATTAGACTAGCATCTTTTAAGGCATTTAAAAACGAACTTTAAGACATTAAACTATTCTTTATATAAAGCGCACTATATGCTAACTACTATAGAAACGCATTCTCTATAGGCAAAGCAGTTATCTAGTAGATAGAAATACAGCTAGTTAGAGACCTAGCTGTTTAGTTTTAACTATACTTAAATAATTAAAAAGCACACTATAATAATACGCAACTACTTAAAAAAGAAACTAGATAAATATTTACTAGTGTATAAACATTTAAAGACGCACTTATAAGAATCTATAAATAAGTAGACATAGAAAAAATAGTAGTAAAAAGGCTAGACAATCTTAAACAAAAGCCTTTACAAGAGTCTATGCTGCAAAATTTAAGAAATACTAATCTTAGTATAGATAAACAGATCTGCAGACACTATGCATAACATGGTCCACAAGCGAATGTTCAACACAAGCGAGTGTTCCGCCCCACCACCAAAACGCAGCCAACCTACTACTAACCGCGATGCATTAACAACTATATAATTAATTATCTTTAAAAGAGGCTAGAATTAACCTAGCTATTTAAGCTCTTAATAGAGACGCGTTTTTAACTAAAAGGCGCGCTGCAGCACTCTACAATGTTAATTAAATAGCTCTCCGCTAACAACGCGTAGGGATAACTATGTGACGCAACTGTATAGCTAACAACAAGAAGCTTACAAAGCTAGAAGAGGAGGTAATTATTAAGCATATACTTAATCTAGATTCCTAAGGATTTGCGCCTACTCTAGGTGCTGTATAAGAGATAGCTAACAAGCTTCTTACTAAGCACAGCGCTCTACTAGCAGGTATTAACTAGCTATCTAACTTTGTTGCGTGTATGCTAGCAGTTAAAACTTACCTTAGCTAACTATATAATTACTAATAAGTAAAATGTAAAGATTTAGTAATTATAAGTAAGTAGTTTAAGCTTATAGAGGCTACATAATTAAAGTACAGCATTGTAGATTAGGACACATATAATTTTAATAAGACAAGCTTTTAGATAAGGGTTATATTAAGCTAAATAGTTGTTACAGGCACAGATAGACATAATTAGCTAAAGGCTATATAGCTAGGCAACTGTAAATAGGTGACAGTTATTGCAGGCATTAACGCAGATAGGTAGGCAATACCTCTATACATAATCTTTAAAGGCAAGCATCACCTATCTGCCTAGTATAAGGATAAGGATATACTAAAGGACTAGGCTATTAGTGTTAGCAATAACAGCTAGACAACTAATAAACATAGAATTGCATAGCTAGAGCACTTTAATCTGTATATAAAAGATTGCTTAGTAGGCTTATAGCAGCTGCTTATTTTTAATAGCTATAAGAGCTATTACTTTGTTAAATTCTTAGAGCTCTGCAAGCAGAGGCGTATTATAGCGCTCTGTATGCCAGCACACGCGTCACATATTCTACAGCTGCTTAACGTTAGCTGCTTTTTGCTGTTAAAGCGCGCGTACAGTACTAAGATTAGCTAGTTAATCTGCTACTAGATTAACTATATTAACAAGCTAACCTTTCTACTAGCCTTTAAAGCAGCATTTAGTTACTTAATTATAATAGATAATATCTGCGTAGGCTTTAGAGCTATAGGACTAGTCCTATTTAACCTAGAGCTAGTGCTCTTAAAGCTTAATATATAGCTACCTAATTAGCTAGCTACTTTACTACTAAATACTGCCTAGGAGGCTTAAACACCTAGTAATTTTTATAAAGTTAAGGCTTAGTTAACTCTACTATATAATTAAATTTAAAGGCATTAAAATTTGTCTTCTTTTGCTATGCTTAATCTAGCAAAGCAGCTAAGTAAGGGCGCTACTAAAATAGCTTATGTTGCTGTTCTATAGCGCAATTAAGCAGCTACTCTAGAGAAGGCCTGTAAGGCAGCTATAAAGCGCAAGCAGCGTAAAAAAAAGTAAATTTAGAAAGAAAGAACTCTAATAAGTTATTAAGGCTTTAAGTTAAGTACTTAGAAGCTTACTAGTATAGTAAGAGGTAGCAAAATGCCTTAGAAGAAGTTAACTGCTAAAAGCAGCGCAGCGCGCGCACAGCGCTGCAAGCGCTGCAATAAGCCTAGGCATAACTCTTATACATGTAAGGATATTAAATAATTCTATAGTAGTTTATTTTATATAGTATATTTTTACATTGTTAAATTAATAGTCTTTAAAGTTAAATTTAGTAG